GGTGTGACGAGCAGCCAGTTGTTATTGGAACAGCAGCTTGGTGTGTCGGAGCCCAGGTTGCTTTTTTACTTTTCTTTTCCTTAAAATAATAATAATAATAGCGAACAAAAAGGTTGTAATTATAGAAACTACTACATACTATTATAGTAGTTATAGGTGTCCCGCTGACGTTTAGTCTTGCTACAACAGAATATCATAAGCTAGAAGCAGGAGAATTTTGCTACTGAAATGAAACGTATCTGGAAACTACAGGATATAAAAATCATACCGTCGGTAGTATCGGTGGAAGGAGTGGTCTCAAATAGACTCTCCACTTACATAAACGAATTAGATTTATCACAACATGTTATCAATATCATGCAGAAGGCAGCCTACTACTGACCCTTGTAAGTTTTTCGCAATAGGATAAAGTGAATTCTTTCCATAACGCGAGTGCAACCAGCGCGGAACGCTGTGAGATACCGGGATGATAATACTATAATAATAATATAATAATAATATAATAATAATATAATAATAATATAATAATAATAATATAATAATAACAATAATATAATAATAATGATAATAATAAAAGGCCTTTATTCACCTGGCGGATATTTAGCTTATTAGCTGCTTTACGATATCAACCAGGGCGAATCAAATTAGATAGAGAGACAAGAGCTGACTTTCGAAACGTTGCCACAAAACAGCTGATGGCACCTAAACGCATTTATTTTCGCTTTCAGTCGAAAATAAATGCGTTGTTGGATGCATTTATTGAAAATCACGTGTAGTGAACATATTTTTTGTTTAAATTTACTTTTGTTTGGATATTTATTCATGGTGGGGATATGTATCATCAATTTGCAACCTTCATTCAATAAAATAAATCACACTTTTCGCGAGATTAGCTGTTCTCAAAACCTGTAACATAGCTCTCAAACGTTTAGGCTACGCGGGATACTACACGACTTAGTTTACAGGAATAAAAGCTTGAAATTCAAAAATTTTCTAACCTCTTATTGCTTATTTGACCAATCGTCGGTCTATTTTACATGGTCGCGAGTTATCTAGATAGCCTGGCCTTAAGATGATATGTTTATTCATTTCGTGTGACTTTTTGACGTAACCTTCAAAAACCGTGAGAAAAACTTAACTTGATTCTGCTTAGTATAAATGTACCGTTTTATAAATATTTTATGGCAGCTTGACAACACCGCCTCGATAGCTAAGGACAGTCCGCAATAGATCTCCGTTTTTATTTGTACACCAGTAAGTGCAAGAGTCGACCGCAAAGTTTTGGTTATGATATGAAATGTTAAAAATTAGTCAAAATACGTAAGACATGTGACTAGTTTTTATCGTATCATATCAGGACGCGATGATGTAAAAAAAATTATGATCGGCTTCCCTAGTATAATGCAGATACTACCAAGTTCAATGGGGTCGACCGGAGGATTATAAAGGCATTCCACGAAGTATTTTCGCTTGATATAAATACTCTCTGGTTTAGACGTAAGTTTGTCATGTCATTCCGACCCTAAAAATTGCACCTATCTATAACCTATAACATCTGCTCTTATGTTCGATATTTTGTGGCAGATGGAAAACCAGACTACAAAAAAAATATAGCTTTCCCAGAATTATTTATTTCTCTTTCGCCAAGATGCTCGCGTGATGAATATGCGTTTCAAAAGAATTTATGAATACATTAAGTGTCCTCCATGACCGGAATATTGACAATAGAAATTATGGTAGCCGTCGTTAATTTAAGTGGCTTAAAATTCATTATTACAGTGAACAGAGGTTAGCAACGTATTTTTCAAGATTCGTTTCGGAAGGAATCATGAAGGCGTTAATGATTTGCCGAATTAAAATTGAAGAAGTATAAATTCATCATAGCAAATAAGGTATGAAACCCTATGCAGATAATAATATATGTATGTGGAAAAAATACATGAAAGGAAACTCTGTCATAGGCGTCACCCTTGACATTTGTAGAGTTCAGTATTTCAGTATTGCTTCAGTTTAGAAATATGTACTTCCTTATCTCCTAATATCAGATTTAATTAATTTAAATGTACGATTCAGCTCACTGAAAGCTATTGACTGGTGAAAACATACAATCGTGAGTGTGACTTTTAGGTTCATGAACTTATCAAATAGAAAACATATACACGAACAATACTAAAAAACTCAAGGTTTTTAGACATATTAGAATATCTATAATCTACAAATTAGGCGCTATTTTGGCAAGCTCGTCAGATGAAAATCTAAATCGCTTTTGCCGTCAGAGGTTTTAAAGTCTTCATTACCATTATCGATGTTTATGAATGTTCCATTCTCTATTCCTTCGTTTTCACTTTGACTCGTGGTCAGTCGTATCCCTCCTGAGTTCTTTTTGTTATTGATCTGTCCGAAGCTATACACATGTTTTTAAAGCATTCATATATATTCAAGGTAATTTGTTGACACTGAGTATGGAGGTCTTTATTTTTCAGCTTGGAATTATCGTCATAAGTTGATTCAAGATCTGCAAGACCTCGTCTGACCAAATTGGTTTCCAGAATGCCATGCTTCTTGCACGGCTTTTTACAACTGGCCTGACGACAACATTCGCAATATTTACTGAACCCGTTACCCGTTACCACACCACTAATTCGGTAGGTAAAGTCGATCGTAATGTACATACAAGTATAATGAGCTATCGGAATAGGTACCTAGTTTCATTGTTTCATCTGCTTACTTACTACAGTCATCGTCGCAATAGAATTAATCCCCTCTGGCGTTTTCTATGTACGACCATACTAATATTTTTGTTACAACTACTATATTTCTACTTCTTTGTTGGCAAGGCAATTTCTAAGAATAAAGTTTAATTATAGATGGAATGGCTAGATTTGTGAAAAAAGTGAGTTTTATCAATTTACTCCCATACAAAATGGACTCGCACTCCAACGGCTTAAATAAAAGATTTGTGCGTTCTCTGGAATACTTATATCGGATAACCATCCTTTTCTTTTTAATAGTATGTATTTTTTATCCCAAGAATCCCCTTTAACTTTATGGTGACCAAGAGCGGATCCAGCCTTTGTGTCAGGGGGGAGGGGGGCGGCGCAAAAAGTTGTTCTTCATGATGGGGGAGCAGGGTTGCTTCGATTGAACATTGAAATTAAAGACCGGGGGGCGGGGGTGATCGAGGAGAACATTGAAGAAGAACAGTGGCAGTGGTTACCAGTGGCAGGTCGATCTTGATTTGTCCTTGGATTCTCCCTTGATCGTCATCTGGATACGCTACTGCCTTCTTAGTTTCATAATTTTTACTTTAAAACAACTAGTACCTGTGCTGAAATTGTGCTCTGATCAGTCTCAGGGGTTGGCTCCCCTTTCTCTTCCATTAACCAGTCTGCAAACTATTAAACAAAGATATCATTTTGCCATTTATTATCCATCAATAAAAAAGAAAGTAGCAGTTGAAATTAACTGCCAAATGGCAAATAGTTTTATATCGAAAGCGCTGTTGCCGGATCATGCCAACCGTAAGTCCTGGACTAATCGAGTTAGCAGCAGCTATTGATACGCATCTAGTCATGTAAAGGGATGTAACAGTTTGTTTTTTAGAAATATAGATTATTCATTTACATAACCATCTGTATAAGAAAACTTTTGAATAGAAATCGAGAGAGTAGTAGGTTCTACAATATGGTGTCAAAAATGGGAACCAAAGAGAGACTCACGAACGTAGCGCTTGTGCTTGTTGTCAAACATAAATTCAGTCACATATTTACGCTTGCATCGATATGGCCAAATACCAACAAAATGCCAACTTTGGAATAATTTTGACGACCTGCGGCAGAAAACCACTGCCGCGGTGCATTAGTGACTTTATGACGCATGTGTAGATGAGCGAACGTTTGGCAGTTTTCCCGCTTGAGTTTTCTGAACGGTTTACGATAAACAATGGTAACCGCTATTGCTTGCAGCAGAAAGACATTGGCATACCTTATTATGGACACAATTTAATCATGTGAATTTGAAAAATTTCTATTTCTTCCGAGCACTTCTGTACCTTGGTGCTTAACAGCGGTAGGTAACCACGTGCGGCCTAGTATCAATGATATTGTGGTTATTTATGTGCAGTTTTTTAGACGTGTAAGTTTTTGACATAAATATATGTACCTCAACAATGGTCGCATAGTCACTGGCTATTTTCTCCCAATATTTGATTATCACGTTTGGAGTGACTTCGTGGTAAAGTGGCGACGAAAATAGTAATGCAACCTAGTACTAAAGCCACCAAGTTATTTATTTTTGTTTTTAGTTCAGTGAATTTGCGTTATAAAAATTAATAACAAGCGCTAGCACCGCGATTTTTTGTTGGAGCAACTTGAATACTTTTGTCGTTAACAGCAGTAACCACTTCCACCAGCGACAAACATTTGAGGCTCGGCTTAGTACCGAAGTCATTGCGGCTATTAATTGGCGCTTTTTAAATACATGAGTTTTTGACGTGACACTGGAATTCATAAATCACACATGGTTCCGTTTTATCTCCGACTGGTTTTTGAAAGTAGAGGTCTTTGCCCAATATACCGTATCATATTAGGATCATCGTACAATCGTATTAGTTCACGTATGGTAAGTGATACGCATTTTTTCCATAGAATTCATATTTTTAGACAGATTCAACCAACATTAATATACTACCACTACCACTATAATAAATAGGCTACAAATTATTGCTCTCCTGTCGACATTCAAACGTGAGGATTGCATAGCGCCGAGGTCACCCGTTCAGAATTATTCAGCACAAATCGTATAGTCGCCAGCAAAATACTATATTTGTATAAAGGGCATTCAGCTGAACTATTTCAGCTTTTAAGTAATTCGATTTTCGTGGTTCTTACATATTCGGTCACATTTCTCTATTTCAGGGAGATATTTGCAACAGCGACAACACTGCTATAGGTACGTTTACCTGTGCTGACGTTTTCAGCACTGCTAATACAGCTCATGTGGGGATCCAGCGCGATTGTAACCGTCATCAGACTTTTGTCCGCTCGGAACTTCGTCGGCTTAGGGAACGTCGCTGGTCGCATCCGTGCTGTGTGCCGTGCGTCGCGGTAAAATTTTCCTCGTTCGCCTTACATTTTTGAATTTTTCAAACACGTTCCCTCTTTTTTCGGTCTCGCCCGCGCGACGTCTCGGCATCCGCCCCCCAGATTGACAAAATATGAGGTTATGAGCCTCGTCATCCCGTGAAAAATAACGGATCTGTTATTCTTGTGCCGCAATTCCTGCTACCTGAAACTGGAAAGGAATGTCAATTGTGTCAGTTTGTTAGTGCATTTGTTTTGCTCTTCGAATCCAGTTGAGGTGTTACGACCTCGAGCTTCAAGGCCGACTACATAGAAGTTGTCGCGGTTGAAAAACGTTTGAAACTTGGATACCGAAGGCTTCTTCGACTGGATTCCATCATCTTTTCTCATCGGTTACAGTGGACCAGTGCGGTATCCGTCACAATCAGGGGTGATTTTCGACGAACTCGACCAGTCTGGCGGGAGCACATCTGCTTTCGGTGCATCTGTTCCTTTTGCCCTATACAGGGTGTTGTGCGAAAAGTACGTTATCGGCTCGTATGACGTTTCGGACTTTCTAGTTAATTTTTGTGATAAACATGGGGAATCACCCCTCGAATCATGTGCCACTGGATAGGAACGTTGGGAAATTCGGAGATGTTACAACGGTATGTTTTTTGGTCATTCATTAGGATAAATGCCTACTCGTTTTGTCAGGGGAGTAACGGGTAGGTACTGCTTTGGTATCCGAACGCCTCCTGATAGAAAATTGTTTAATATACCTACCTTGAAATAAAGGTGAAGTTGACGGTGTATTAAGCAGTGCATCTACTTTATTCTGTTATTTGGACAAATAATTTGTAAGAGATTTTTGCAGTGAATATGACCATTATTGTTTGATTAAAACAGACTAATATTCCAATTTTCATTTGAGTTTTCATCAAAGGTGAAGGGCCGGAAAGGTTTCTTATTTTCAATTTTTGATATAATATATATATATATATATATATATATATATATATATATATATATATAAATTCCCATATTCAAAGGAAATCAGATACATTTGACAACTAGAATGTTTTTTCTATCTCATATTTTTATAAATTTCTACTCCTGTCATCCGAGCCTTTTGATATAATATACAATACACGTTATAATGATAGATCACATGTGTTCGTATCGCTGATTGTACAGTAGAGAGCAAAAAGCATATCTAACATAAATAAAAAATAGTGTCAGTTGTACTTGAAAAAGGCCACAGTTTCTCGTCATCAGAAAACGGTATTTCAAACATAAACCGTGTTTCACTGGTATCCATCACGTTTTGACAATTTGACATCTTTGTATTAGTCTATAACATTGTCAATAATGAATGGGGTGTAAATTTAGTGATAACTTGCCTGTAGCATCTTTTGTATGCAAATGAACTTTTCTAAATCAGAATTTGTCGATTTTGAAATATTACTAGATAATCAGCTGTGATTCTACCCTAATGGATACTCGTGAAAAAGATAATATTTAGAAAGTAGGGACAGTTAAATCAGTCAAAAACTGTATATTTTGATTTATACTTATCACACTTGAAATATAGTCATGACCACTAACATCCATAATTACTTGTATCATTTTTCTTTTCTATACAAAAACGTTGTTAGATAAAGTGTGAATCCGTAGCATAAAAAACCACCTCAAAATAGGGATCTGGCCTTGACAGAGGATGTGAGTGATCAGTCATAGTGACATACAGGCTGTTACTAGTGGTGTTATGTGCATGTACTGCATGTTTGTGATAACTATAACTATACTAAGTGACATATAAATCCGAACACCCAGTTTAAATGGTTTTATTTTAATCAAAGTTGGTGAATGTATTTATCTTACTGTAAATAACAAGTGAAAAAATTTTCAGCCTTATCAGTTGGACATTCCGGTTTTTATACTGCTTTTTTTAATTCACTAACCCTCTAAAAATGAATATTTCAGCCGCAGTAAAGAATCAACGTTGGCGGATTTTGGTTCTTGACATCCTTTACGATCGGTTACGATGCCTAGAGTACGGAGACCTGTACGATTTCGTCAACTTAGTGAGTTTGGGCCGTATAGTGGGACTTCGGGAAGCTGGACTTTCTTTTCGGGCAATTGCAGTTAGAGTGCAAAGAAGTGTAGACACTGTGGTTAGGTGTTGTCAGGCATGGCTTCGAGAAGGCCGTACGCAAAGGGCAAGGGGCACTGGACGCCGCCGTAGAACAACAGATTATTGGCCTTAAGGGACCGTTTCTCCACTACCAGGTCCATTGCAAATGAATGGTTTGCAGAACACGGAAGACCTATTGGCATGCGAAGTGTTTACCGACGAATGAGAAGTTTTGGCTTGTTTTCATACTGGCCACACTGGGTCCTCCCTTTAACTCGAGAACACCGACGTAATCGCCTTGAGTGGTGCAGACAACGATCACTCTGGGATCAGGAATGGAACAGTATTGTCTTTAGTGACGAGTCTCGATTTTGTTTAGGCCTGCACGATGGTCGTGCCAGGGTTAGAAGGCGACGTGGTGAAAGGAGCAATCCACAGTTTTTTGTTGAAAGACATGTTCATCACACTGTTGGAGTTATGGTTTGGGGTGCTATAGCTTATGGTTCCAGGTCACCTTTAATCTTCATCAGAGGTAACATGAACGCGCAGCGTTATATCCACGAAGTTCTAGAACCCCATCTTTTACCCTATCTTGACACCCTAGCAGATCCAACTTTCCAACAAGATAATACAAAATTTTATTAAAATAAAACCATTTAAACTGGGTGTTCGGATTTGTATGTCACTTAGTATAGTTTTGTATTCGACAAAAGACTGCATCTGCTTTTTCACTGCACGTGCTTCGAGCAACGTGAGCCGGTTTAAGCCTACACATTCCTGAATATAAAAATAGAATCTGCAAACCAGTGACGTAGTTGGGACCTAGGACCCATTTGATGACCTATTTCACGATTGTAACCTCCTACTTTCTCGCCTTAACAACTGCATCAGTTTTATCAATCTGTCAAACTAGCCCTGTGATTTTCTTTCGTGATTGTGCCCCCTTGCTGAATCAACGCTAGTGACGTAAAATACAATGTACGGTTCCAACTTCTCAAACCTGACAACACGACGTTCGATAATTACAAATTACACGTATTGCATATGAAATCCTACGATCTCCCTATAAAATCCGTATCCAGTCAGTGGAAAGCCAACCTAAGCCAGGATGTTGCCATATCTTTTCCCTGGAAGCCTTTCCATATTGCTCTCATCTCGGCATTCGCCTTCTAGATATTCCCTAAAGACCACCCACTTAGCATCTCGGGCTTAGCCTCTCTTTTTGCTGCTAGCTCCAGTATGCTTTTTCTTTTTAAGAGGACTTTTATCGGCTCATTTGGCAATTTATTCAATGCATAACTAAGGTAGTTCTCAACCAAAGTACTTTTATGGGTAGGGAACCCACATTGAGATACCGTTACTAGACATTAATTTGTACTGAATGGCCAAGAAAACTGTTACAAGGCTCGATCACGAATCACAACCATAGTTCAACTAAAAAAGTTTTGTTTTAATTATGAAATAGCGAACCACTAGTGTAAATAACTGATGTAAAAACATCAACCTTGTTTGCAACCGCTCACCTGCAACCACAGTGCTGTTTTAAAAACAATTTCGTGTCATCGAAATATTACATATACACGTATTATATCAATTACGGCATTGTTTTGTTTATTTGCGTTGTGCAACAGCTCAGTAAAACAAGAGTGGTACCACCAATTACGTTAAGAGGTACAACATCAGTCTCTCATCGGGTTAACTAAAAACTGGAGCAGTGTTCAAACCAAGTTCGAAACATGAGAGAATTTCGATGTTCGACTGAAATCGTTGGCCACTTCATGAATTCTCTAGCAGTGAATCAACATTTCTTCGTCTGATCCCTCCCTGTTCTGAACCAGCTATGACCTGCTCGGAAGTCGTCTAGCTTATGTCTCCCATTTAAACTGAGGCACAGTTTTTCATTCGCACGTTAATTTTCAAAATGAGTATCTGTAACTAAGAAGTTTGCTAGAAATATAACACTTATTGCCTTAAATTCGTCTCTTCAGGGTCTGGTTAACGAACACATTACTGTTAATCTGGCAACGCTGCCTCAAATCCTAAACACTCCCAATATTGTGCACAAAACTCTTCCTGATTGCTCTTATTTTAATCAGCTCAAACCTCCTATCGATAAACTTTTCTCTGGTGCCTTCTGCCCTCCCTTCTAAAAAATTAATCATTCATCAACAATAAACCTTGTACAATAAAGCAAGAATCCTTTGAAAGTCTGACCGATTACATCCATTTCTTATAAGTCATCGCCTATAAAAAGAAACCCACTAACAACCAAGGACATCCGGTTTTGGTGTGCCCTTAAAAGCTGAAATTACATCTGTTTGTCCACATTTGTAGGTCTAGCTTGAACGTCAGCTACCAGGCAACAGGATGCGGCCAAGCCTCTTCGGTGCGTGTGCCCACGGATTGTGATGCTATTGGATATCTTTGTTTTTGTCTGGTGAGGTGATATCGAATGAATTGACTCGACCTGCAGGGGTATTACGTATCTGGAAAAGTGACATTATTTAAGTTTTTTGTGACATTATGTAGTTTTTTCTACGAGATGTCAACTTAGAACTAGCTGTTGTCCACTGCATGTGCACTCGTTCTGTAGCTGTACGTGTTGCCTAAACATCATGATGCTACAGCAATGAATTTTTGGCTCTGATGTAACATCTGCTCCAGAGATGGCATTATTGGAAGTGCATAGGTGCATAGTGAGGATTTCTGTGCTAATAATATGCGTTGATTCCCTTAATTTCTTGTTTCAAATGCACTTACATGAGATGTACTCGTATGTTACATCATGGAAGTCGCATACGCAAATGTGCTGAATTTATAAAATGAGATAGACAAAAAACGAAAATACTTGGTTGGTGAAACGAAACATGTTACGACTAACTGGTGAGAAGATATGCTACAGATGGGAATATTTATGAAACGTGTAAATGTTATTACATTTTACATTTTTTTTTATTCCCAATCATTTAAATTTTATAGAAAGATGTGAGGCACTGGGGAAATGGTTTGTGTGAGATGCGTCATTCCTATTTTTCAGTGATTTGACTTGATTACACACACAATGCGGGCGCGGTGGTGATTTCCCGTGATGCTTGTTGAGGTTTTTGAAAACGAAAAAAAAAAACGGGGAAAGTTGTAATAAATTGTAAGTTAGAACATAACTTCTCTTCAGCACGATACAAATAACCCGTCCAGTACAGCTGATACGCTTCATTGGCAGCATATTCAGTAATAATTTTCTCACAGCAAATATCACTGATTATATGTACGCATGCAGACCAATAAATATACACAATCACCACACAATCATCCATATGCGATCTTGCTATTCAGCTAATTTTCTTTCTTTCACGTCTTCTCAGAGTTACATAGTCTACAAACTATCTCGACATTCTGCAACCAACAAAATGATGAGTCACGAGAAATGATGTGCCCAGAGGCTCGATCACGTTTACACTTTTTTGACTTGTTAAGGCAAATGAAAAATCTTAAAAACCCCTGTTTTAGATGACAGAACCAAATTTGATGTGC